ATTTAGTTTTGCCTGGTTGACTGCCGATTTGTAGATCTTCCGACTGCAATTGTATGCCTTAAGTGCCGCCTCGCTAGGAGAAGCTTGAAGTATTGTACGATATGCCATAGTCCTTTCTTTCATTTTTTTCAAGTCCTGTGTGTACCAAGATTTTCCTGCACCACTCGAAGTTTTGTTCTTCTTTCTTACGATTTTCTCCGGGCAACTTATGTAAAAAACATCCAGAAGAGTGTAGAAAAAAACATTAAATAAGTCCTCAGCAGGTAAATTGCCAAAGTTTAACAGAGGCAGCCAGTCAATTTGTAGTAAATTGGATTTAAATTCTTGTAAACGCTTCAAAGAGACGTCTCTATTGACAACTGTAGGTATTTCTGGTCGAGTAGAAGATTGGACCAACTCCACTGTAAGCTCCAGCCCATCATGGTCAGACATATCAGGGTAGACCACTTTAGAAGAATATAACTCTTCCGAGATGTTGGTAAAGATGTTGTCGAGACAGGCGTTGAACCTAGTTGGCGCTCTGTTAATGTAATGACAGTTAAATTGTTCCAGAGTGTAGACAAGCTGCTTCACGCTTTGTAGTTTATTATTTACATCAAATTTGGCATTGAAGTCACCACCAATTATTATATTACTCTTGAAACGATCTAAGAATATTAATAACAGTTCCAAATTAGTGAGAAAGATGTTGCTGTCTCCAGATGGTGAATGGTACACCGATACAATAGCCAAATTAAAAGCCTTGATAAATACACCAGAACACTCAAAATTCTTTTCAACACAGAGCCAATCCAGTTTTAAATTCTCAAAACTTATCAGGCTGGATACAAAGATACCAGTACCACCCCTAATGAAATTCTTCCGACAGAAAAACGCTGCACTTCTGAAGCCGTCTAGGTTAAGGAACTCCACTTCTTCTTCAACGAGCCAATGTTCATTTAAGCAGATAATACTATACTCGTTTTCAGTACTTTCCATTTCTAACATATTTAGCTTGCCTTGTAATCCTTGAACATTTAAGAATAAACATTTAAGTACACAGGATCCTTTACGCTGTAGGCCTACGACATTTGACTTACAATGTAGTGATGTTGAGGTAGGTAGGCCTAGGCCTAGTTCCATATAGACTTTAGGAGGTGTTAGTTCTTTTTGCGTTGCGGTCTCGCATTCCATAAAAAACTCTTCCTATCATTGTAGAACGGTCTAGGTTTAGGTCTAGGTGATGTGTACTCACACACAAGTACACCTTCAGGCCACAGTTCCGGCTTTATAATATTGTCTACGTCTTCCGGGTTGACTCCTACCTTATAGGACTTGTAGCCAGGGAATTTAGTCCTAACATCTTCACAAATCACGTTACTAGTATTAACGCCCACCTGTTCTAAATGTTCCTTAATGTCCTCGGGTTTGCATTGTAGTGACAATCGAGATACAAACACCCACTCCTTCTTCTGAGCCGAAATCAAATTGGAATTCTCCACACTAGGCTTAGAACCCACGACAGTTATCTTACTATGATTAACAGATAACCTCTTCTCTTTTTCGCTAAGTTTATCTAACTTGCCACGGGGGTTAGGCCTAGGCCTACCCAGAGCCTGGGTATCTTGATTGGTAGGCCTAGTCTTATTTTGGGCTGCTATTTGTGCATATGTTTCGATATCGTTGGAACCATCAGATATTTTTTCAACACTAGAAACATTTAATACTTCGATATAGATGCGTGCAGTCTGGTTTTCCTTGTTTTAACTTATTAAAAAGTTGATAGGGGGTGTCCAATGTCCATACTTTTATCCAACCCTGAATATACAGGGTGTTTCGAAACTCTGTGGGCTGAGCATGCCTGACGGTGTCAAAATGGCTTTTTTTCTGGGTAACGGTTTTTAATATTTAGGTTTTTTAGCACCCCTACAAAACTCCAAACCTTTGGGCATACTTGTTCGCGAACTCATTCAAATAAACATCGGTTGACTTGTATGTACCAAAATTCATTAAAAAAAGCGTATGATTTTTACTCCGAAGTATTGTGCTAACTGCTGATACAGGGTGTTGTTCAAAGGTTTAACTCACCATCACCAACAATGAACTTCAAACAAAGAATTGATACAGGGTGTTTCGAAACTCTCTCCCGAAACCCCAGGGTCATGTGCCTTAGGTCAAAACAAACGAAAAATATCATATAAACATATGCCCTATCTTGCCTCGTTTTCCGTCTGTCAGTGTGTATTTATTTTTTACATAACTTCCCATAACTTTGGAACCACTTGAGGTGCCAACTTCAAACTGGGTACGTGTATGATGACTAATAGTGCCTATCTTTTTGCAAAGCATCAAGTTTTTCTACTTTGCATAATTTCAAAATGGTGGCCGTTTTTATTTTTCAAATATAAATAACTAAAAAACCATAGAATTTATTAAAAAGTTACAAGTAGCAAAACGGGTGGAAATTTAATTCACTTTACAGAAATGTACAATTTTTTTTTTATAGGGTCATAACAGTAAATACTTACTTACTCCCATGGTCATGGATACCCTAGGTGGTATTTGACCTTGCCAACAAGTTGCCTCCCCATCTCTCCCTGTTCTCTGAATTTTCTTTCCCTGCTCTCAATCTTTGCAAATCTTTCTCCACCTGGTCCTTCCATCAATTCTTAAGTCTTCCTTGGGGTCTTCTTCCTGCTGGGTCTTGTCTCCAAACTTCTTTTATTAGTCTGCCTCTCATATATATATCTTTCCTCCTCAATACATGGCCAGCCCACTTTGGTCTTCTTCTCTTTGCTTCTCCTACTATGTCTGGGGAATCGTACATGTCCCTAATTTCTTGGTTGTGCCTAATTCTCCATCCTTATCCCTCTCTAACAGTTCCAAACTATTTTTCTCAAAACTCTGTTTTCAAATGTAATAAACTTCTTTTCTGTTTGTTTGTCCATAATCCATGTCTCTGCTCCATAAAGCAAGATTGGTATTATAATAGTCTCGTATAATCTAATTTTATTTTATGTGACAGTAATTTTAATTAAAAATATTGTTTAATACATACATGATTCTATTTGCCAAATTTATTCTATTTTGAATTTCTATTATTTCATTACTTTTTGAATTTACTATTGAACCCAGGTATTTGAACTCTTCAACTTGTTTGAATTTATGGTTTAACACTTCAAAAGTTTCTCTACCATTGTTTCCCCGGCCAAAATATACCAACTTAGTCTTTTCATCGTTTATTTCTAATCCTATTGATCGAGTTTTGTCTATAAAAATATGTGTTATCTCCATCAGTGCATCTCTGTCTTCCAATACTAACACAACATCATCTGCAAATGCTAGTGCTCCTATTTTAGTTCCAATACTTATACCTAGATTTCTATCTCTTATTTCTTTTAATGCTCCTTCCAGAGCTAGATTAAAGAGCAATGGCGAGAGACTGTCTCCTTGTCTCACACCCGTCCTTACCCCAGTGGTGATAAAATACCATAACACAAATAACGAGAAAATTTCATTTTTTAATGGTAATACCTGCTAACTTATTTAATTTGCTAAATTTTTTTGTTTGAACGTTTTAACTTCAAAAAATTTTATTTTTCTCCGTTATTTGTGCTATGACCCTATACAATTGTACATTATTGTTAAGAGAATTAAATTTGCATCCTTTTTGTATCCATTAGTGGTTTTCAAAGTGATGTCTGTGTGTGTGTGTGTGTACAGAGCTACAGACCACGCCTATGGTACGATTTTGATGAAATCCATCGTATCTCCAGGTGTTTTTTTTTAATTTTTTTGAAATTTTAATTTTTAATGGTGATTTTTTCATAAAAAAAAACAAAAAAATATAATTTTCTCGGAAATGGCCGATTTTGATAGAAATTTAGTAGGTTATAGCCCTTTAAATTCCAAATAAAATGGTATAACTCCCATTGCTGTAAAATTAGGGTTAAAAGGTTATTTTAACATTGTTATTTTACCATAAAAACCCCATAAAATAACAAAAGATTTGATTTTTGAAAAAAAGCCATTTAATTAATAAAATTTGTATGGTATGGTCCTTATAATTCTATACAATAAAGTGCAACCCACCATTGCTGTAAAAATTACGGTTCAAAGTTATTACATCTTTTGTGATTTTCCCTATAATATATTTTAGGTTACTTATGATACTGTACAGGTTGTTGACGAGCTAATGGGAGAAAGTATGTGTTACTGCTGATACCGTTTATTTTTGTTTGTTTTGACCTAAGGAACATGACCATGGAGTTTCGGGAGAAAGTTTCAAAACACTCTGTATCAGTAGTTAATGGAATACCTCGGAGTAAAAATCATACACTTTTAAAGAATTTGGTACAAACAAGTCAACTTATGTTTATTTGAATGAGTTCGCGAACCATTATGCAATCGGACCAATGGATTAGAGTTTTGTAGGGGTGCTAAAAAACCTAAAATTTAAAAACCGTTACCCAGAAAAAAGGCCATTTTGACACCTTCAGGCATGCTCAGTGTTATGTGAGAAAACTTTGATATTATTAATAATTTAAGTATTTAAGGGATTAATGTATTTAAGATAAATTATATGCTTTATAAGCTATAGCTGTATTGTCAGTCTTTGGCTCAGTCTGTAGTGTGACAGGCTTCAAATCCATGGCAGAGTTTATTTTATTTATTTAGTTGTCATGGGTTCGGAGCTTAGTTGTTGCCACTAAATTTTATTTTTTACAGTTCACCGTTGTACTGGACAAGCTCACCCCTTGCTTTCCTGGATGTGTTCTACACATGGGCCGAAGGCCTATGTGGATGGAAAGACGAGACCTTAAAATAAACTGTTAAACTTTTTCTTTAAAAAAATCCTATACACAATTTGCATAGGAAATTTGGAAAAAGCATCCTACAACTTTTTTACATTCTTTTGGATAGTAAATTTTTCTAAAAGGCTATTACCGTATTATTGTGGTAAAATATGTTTGATTTTTCAAAACTCAAACCTTGTACTTTTATTTTTGTCATTATTGTAGATCACTGTTGGATCTGTCAGATGATGAGCTACTTCACATAGCCGAGGTGGCAGACTTCACAAGTCACGCTGTGGAGCATGGCAGCGCTCACCTGAAGCAGTCATCATGGGACGCTGCTCTGGTGGCCACAGCTGCTCTGTGTCACAGTGTTGCCACTACACTAGACAAGTGGCAGACACACTCGGCAACACTGCCTACCTCATCTCCCACATCTGCAAACACCGACACTAGCTCACAGCCTTGGCCTTTCAACCTCATAGAATTGATTAGAGATAACTCATCGGTAGAAGAGGAGAAAGAATTAATCCGTTTACCTGTAAAGAAACATTTAAGCAAAATCATATTATGTAGCCTACAGTAAACTCCCGATTATCCGAGTCTCGGTTAACCGAACCAGTCATAAAAAAATAATAATAAAGGTCTTAATATCGAGACAACTACCGGGAGGCGCAATGTTTATGTGTTTAACAAGCGTGGTCGAGTAGTGGAAGTCTCTACTGGCTGTTGTTAGGTCGAGTAGTAGACTTTTCTACTGTAATTGTACTGGCTGTTGCTTGGCCGAGCCGTCGATCCGTAATGCACGAATACACAGATAATCAATAAATTCTAAGAACTACAGTAGCGCATGGCAACACTAAATAAACAGGCAGTAATGCTCCTTAGGCAGGACGTCATCGTAGGCAATGGCAATGACGTAATTTTTGCCTATGCGATCAGCTCCTTGTTTTAATATTTTCTTGGAAAACAAAAATAATACTAAAAAATAGCATCGTAGGTCACGGCAATGAAGTAATTTTGCCGTTTGCAATCAGCTGGCTGTTTAAATCTTTTCTTGGAAAACAAAAATGTAACTAAAAAAATATTATGTCATTTTATTGCCGTGGCATGACGTTGTCATGTCTGAGGAGCCTTACGGCCTGTTTATTTAGTGTTGCCTTGAGTAGCGCCTGAGATATTTACTGGCTGTTGCTAGGTTGAGCATTCTATGAATTATTGGTGCACTGGAAACCTGCATATTTCCTTATCCACCTGGACCTGACTCTTTTAGTCTGTCTGAGTCCTGTCCTGTTAGTTGTTCTCGTGCTTATCGCGGTTGTGTTTATTTTTGCCATTTTAATTGATTGTTTATCGTTATTGTTGACTTTTACTGTCACCGAATATTTATCGTTTGTTGTTGATTTTTATTGTTGCTGAGTGTGGGAAACGGAAAAGACTTCTACTGTAGTTTCTCTTAAAACCAAATTTAATGTGATTAAGAGGTTAGCACAGAAGACGATCAAAGTCTTTTTAAAGAAATAATCTGTGTTCATACTTGCTTACAGGTATTAAATTGTGTCTATTATATGATCTTTCTTCTAATATACCAGTTTTGTAAACTTTCACTGGGTTTTACGTCATGTTTACCATAAGTGTACTTAACCTCCGTATTATCCGAGTTTTCCCGTATCCGAGGTAGTCCCGGTCCCAATTACCTCGGATAGTCGGGAGTCTACTGTAGTCTTTTTAATGAAATATTTAATGACCTATATAAGAATTTATTTTGACTTTGAACTCTCTTGAGTAATTACTATCACTTTTAGCGAATTTCCCATATAGGGAATAAACTATTACCGTAGGTCTCATGATAAGACCTAGGCCCGGGACCGTTTTACTATGTACATACATATATTTTTTTTAAGTTATGTTCACTTTTGATGGCTGCTTTTTCAATTGAATACGTGAAATAATAAAAACCAAAGTAACCTGAAATTAATTTTTTATTTAACTTATAGGTATTTCGGCACTAAGGCCATGTCACAGTTTTAGTTATAATACAAGTATGTAAACAAATCAAATAAATAAATAAATTTTTAACAACATATGTTTTGAGTTCATAGTAAATAATTTCGACATTATAAGATGTGGGATTGCCCCTGAACTGGTTATAGTAACTAATATAATGGTTTTAAATACCTTCAGTCACCAGTTCAAATAAGTCGGCTGTTGCGACCTAGGTTTCGGCACAAAGTTGTACCATCATCAGGCGGGCCAGTTTTGAGTCTTCAGTCCAATGGACGTCGTTGGGTTAAAACAAATAACAGTTCACGACATACAGCACAAACACGCACACGAACACATATAATGAATAATACCGGTATTTACAGAAGGACGACATTTTTGTAAGTTCACCGGCTGCGACGGGTGACATCCAAGCCACAACTAACTGGAACGTTCAAGTGGTCTATCTGACCTTTGTCCTCGGTATTGTTTTGAGTTATGTCTAATAGGATGCCTTGTTAGTGTTGCTTGGGTTTAAATTATTTTGTTAAAAATTAAATTGGAGCTGTGGTGGATTTGGTCGTTTAGTAGGTTATCGGCATCTACTTTTAGATTTGTAGATATAGAACTCTTCTAACGTGTCCAATATAAATCCTTTCTTACAATAGCTGAGAATGGAAACGTTCTCATCTAATTTTACCATTCTATGGTCATTCTCAATTATAATATGTTGGGCGAATGTGGATTTTTGTTGGGTAAAACGAGGGTTTGGTTTGTGTTCTTTTAACCTGGTTGCAAAAGACCAACCTGTTTGGCCGATATAATATCTTTTGCAATCACCACATTTTAACTTATACACCCCAGTTTTATCCAGTTTCTCACTCTCACTAGAAGGTTTTTTCGCAGTTATAAGGCGTTTTAATTTATTTGATGTTCTAGGGGCGGGTAGAAGATTGTATGGTTTTAATTCCTTATTTAATAGGTTGTGTAATCGGTGGCCATATTCGATCGGAATGTATTTAAGGGGCTGTTGGTTCGGGTTTAGATGTTTGTTTATGTTTATATTTCGTTGTTTTTTAATCAGCCTATCAACCATCTTTCTTTCATATCCATTGGATGTCGCAATATATTTTATAGTGTTTAATTCTTTCTTGTAGTTTGTAGGTGATAATGGCACTGTTAGAAGGCGACGAACGATGCTGTTATAAGCAGCTGTTTTTTGGCTTTGGGGATGGTATGAGGAAGCTTGTATCGTCTGGGATGTTGTTGTGGGCTTTCTAAAGATGTCAAATTCAAAGCTGTTATTATTTTTCTTGATGGTGAGGTCGAGGAAGTTTATTTGGTTGTTACTTTCTATTTCTAGTGTGTATTGTAATTTCGGGGCTATATTGTTAAGGTAAAAATAATAACAGCTTTGAATTTGACATCATTGCCGCTCAAGAACTGTAGATGGCATTCATATCGATATTTGGCCATACATTTCGAGGGTGGCAATGAATCGTTGTGCTCATAATACACACAATTTTTCCTACCACCATCATTAACTTATCATAACACACAGATTAACTTTTTGGATGTATGTAAAATGTAATTTGCTTATTGGTTGTTAACACACTGGATCCATGGATGTGGTTGGGATAGAAACGCTAACCGTGAAATCAACAGATTTTGTGTGCAGGGACGGGCATTCTTGATCTAGAGTGGAAATGAGCTATTTTGCGTACTATTTACAGGTTAAGCAATGTGATCATTTCCATGCAGTGGTAAGAAAAAAAATTATCGTATAGTTACTCCCACGGTTTACCCATGATAAAGGTTATTGAAAATCTAATGGTAGATAGTATGTGTCGGATTGCTGATACCGTTTATTTCCTTATTACAGTTAGTGCGGGTGGTTTGCTCTGTATGTAGGCTGTTCAACACACTCTCTGTACACCTAGCTTCAGTAGACCCAGAGGACAAGGCTGGTGTTACTCGTTGCACTGAATGGACTGACGTTTTCCTGCCTGAAACGCATTCAGCTCTTACTCGTTCTTGGATCATCATAGCAGGTAATGGTGTCCAATATAACACGTTTCAGTGTTTCCCATACCTAAGTCTACTGTAATGACAATATAATTATGAATATTACATTTCAGGATTGTTTGACCTAGTAAAACTATTAGCTCACGGCCATTGTAAACCAAAAAAAGCAAGACATAATATTAAGGATGATGTTATTTTGTCAATTTCATCAAGAAAACCTTATTAAAACCTATGTGTCTGACTACCAGTGCTCAGTAGCCTACTTCACTGAGGTAGGCATAATTGCAAAAATGTATAATTGATAGGAAAACCGGCTCCCAATTAGGATATGATTGGACTTCATCTCGGAATGAATCTTAGACTAGATGTTCTCATGTTTTTGCGTATTTTCATCAAGCCCCACTTTGTAATTGAAGTTTTGTATTTCACATCCAGTAGGTATGATGTGTTTTATATCAGGTGTCCATAAAATATTCATCGGAGTTTTAAATACTTAACTGGACTTATAGATACATTAATGCTACTAAAAATTGCATGGATTGAAAGAAAAAGCTTTCAAGTTTTGTTTGATATCACTTAAGTTGCTCAAACCTTCTTCAGTTTCATTTGCTTTCAGTGAAACATGTTTCCAGCTATGTTGCAACGCTGCCCAAACGTTGATATGCATATCCTGACTTACTGTTGACACTGCCACGCAAATCTTTTCTCGGAGTTGTGGCAGGGTTTGAGCTAATGTCAGGATGTCCCTGTCCTTCACATATCCCCAGAGAACAAAATTGCATACAGTAAGGTCTGGGGAACGGGGTGACCACCTTAAGGAGAGCTAATTCATCCTCAGCACAGCGGCCAATCTAACCATCAAGGAATATCTTTATAAAAACTTCAGACATTGCAGTGCTAAGTTGGGGAAATAACCATTGCTCCAACATGTCCAGATATGCAACACCAGCGGTATTATACAGAAGATATTTTAAAACTACAGTAATAACAGTCATAATTTTCAATGAGTTTAGACCCGACTAAATGCTTATGTTACTAATTTAAATACTCACGCTATTTAATAGCGCTTTGAAATAATAAACGCTTCTTGTAAAAATATTTTAGCATTTTTTGGACCCGGCCTTATTTTTTAGTGCTTTCTACAAATGTTTCCCGGCTTAAAGCTGTTATCAGTAAACATTTCTTGCATGTATTTATTTGTTCTGACTTTAGGTAGGTTTACTTTACCACTGCGGCAACATGATATGTATATTCTTCATGGTTTTTTTTACTTCCAAAAAAAGTTGCTTAGCATAACTGGAAAAAAATTATTCATCTCCCCAAGTGATTGTGTACCTGGATTCCTTTCTGTGAGACCAGGCCTCTCCTCTACTCTTCTCATACGTATAAGATTTCCTATTAATTGTCTCCTCCTCCTGTTTTCAATATTTCTCCTTTAAACTGGAAAGAAATTGTCTGTTCTTCCAACAAAACTCATTGACTGTTAAGATTTGTCTATAACCTAAAAATTACAAACATCAATATTTACTCCCAAAAAGCTGGTGATTTTCTTTTTATATACAGCTGTTTTTGTTTTTAAATTTGTTTTCAATGTAATTCTTATGGGGGAAATGCGACCTTTGAGAGCATCTCATGCCCTTAAGGGTAAGAGTTCTCAAATTCTAAAACCTTTATGCAAAACTATTAATTGAGACAAATTATTTGATACCTCAAACGTTAAAATCGGTCCAGAAATAACAGAGGAGCTTTGTTCTCAAAAAACAGCCCTCACGTATTAATATAAAGAGACTAGCTGACCCGGCGAACTTCGTATCGCCTAAGTTATAGGTTTCCCCTAAGACAGACCGATGGAAAGAAAGTACCGTTACGTTTAATTTTCAAGATGATCTCGTTCGCATCGCTCAATCACGTCCTGGTTGAAGTTCGTTCGCTACGCTCACTCACCTTTGGGTTGGAGCTCGTTCGCTACGCTCACTCACCTTTTGGTTGCAAATTAGCTGTTGTCATAAATGTAAAAGAAATAATAGTGCTGCACCCTGTTGGTAATCCTTGTAACTTTAATGCTATTGAGCATCATAGAACAGAACCAACTTGTTTAATTGAAACAGCTGTTAAGATTCATTAATTCCATTTCTCATAAGGTTAACATGGGAAACTCCAGAGCCACTGTGGCGGAGCCCTTTTAAGAATTTCGAAACGGGAAATAGTTTACGTCCGATTCGCATACCTACAGAATTTACACACCAAATTTCATAACGATCGGTGAAGTCGTTCCGGAGGAGTTTGCAGACAAACACTGTGACACGAGAATTTTATATATTAGATAAGTAAATAAAACCCGATAATTATTTTATGGACATCCTGTATTTCCAACAAATGCGATTCTTTGTTTATGTTAGTTAAAAAATGTCATTACACATTACAGAATTATTGTTCAAATTTGAAGCCTACTTATAGTTAAAAAATGAGTTAGTAATGATGGAAAAATAATACATACGGTAAAAGCCTATACAAATTCTATATACTAGGGGAAACCCGTCGAAATCGACGTTTACTCTTGAGGTTTTATGTAACTTTAGCTAACTGCGATGATAGAGTGAAAATCTTAGTTAAATTAAGGTAGGATAAGCATTAATAATGAATATGAGATTGTGTAACTACCTTCAAAAACGTGGTTGGCTTTAGGTTGCCCAAAAGGTTTTTTGCCACATTTACTATATTATGAGAAAAGGATTTCATATAATTGGTCTGTCATCTTACGGGAAGAGTCTACATTACTAATAACTGGTTACATCTGCTTTAGGAAAATCATTCAGACCGTATTTGGATTGCATAAGTGAGTCGCCATCTTTGGTCATAAAATGCAGAATTTCATCAGCATATTAAATCAGTTTTTTGTATTTGATAAAAATATCTGATTCTACAGAAGGCATAAACATTCTTACTTCGATCCAAGCAATTTTAATTCCTTCTCCTGCCACATTGACCAATGTATTTAATCATCCTGTACTTATTTGCTAATTGATTAACTTCAGGAGTTTTGCCTTGGCCGTATCAATCACATAAAGTTGTGCATTTTAAGGATGGGATGGACCATAATTGTAGTGAATTTGACCACAAATCTTAAACATTTGCTAAACCACATCCATAACCTAGTCCGGCTTGGTTGGCAACAAATTATGCAAATGAGATGAGATGTAAAGGCACTGTTGTATTTCCGAATATTTCATGTAGTGAGGTTTATATGCATTGTTCGACCTAGCTAGATATGTGTATCAAAGTAAAAACCCTTCCCCCCTTTTTTAATACATGAACTGCCATTAATTCACCTACTGCACCAAACCATAGATTAAACCTACTCCATGCATAATCTATTCCAAAACTTGGAACACAGCTCACATCGTCAACGTGCTCATCTACAAATGATTATTGAAAGTAGACCAAAAAAGCAAGTGCAAATCCCTACAATAAATATAAGCCAACCCGATAAGGAATAGTTAAATCTGTTCCTTTGAAATTGATAAATCCAACTGATTTTATAATGTAATATTTTTAAAGTGCTTAATGCTTAAGCATAGATTTTTGAACAAAAAATTTAAAACATATCATAAATTCAATAAAATCATAAATATTAATGTAAACGTTTAATTTTGACAGTTTCAGTAAATGCTCATAACACTTGACCTTTGAAATACAATTTTAAAATTAACAGCTGGTTCATTAAAAGTAGTGTAAAATTATACCGGTACACATGGTCATATTATAAACAAATCTGCTTAGGGGACTTTAAAGGCCTCTAGGGCAGACCCCCAAGGGAATTTACCTCGTTTATCTTTTGATGGCTCATCTACAGACCAAGACCTTTCTTTAGAAATGTCCTTTCTTTAGAGACCCCTACCAAGTTTCTATGCCCAGCCGTTCTCTGAAATTAGCTGTGAGAAAAACCCGTTTTTCCTCCATAAGAATAACATGGGATGGGAATTTAAAGGCCACTGGGGCAGAGCCCCAAGGGAATTTACCACGTTTCTCTTTTGATGGCTCATCTACAGACCAAGACCTTTCTTTAGAGACCCCTAGCGAGTTTCTACGCCCAGCCGTTCTCTCAAATTAGCTGTCAAAAAGAAAAACAGTTTAAAATTAATATAGCCTATAGATAAATAAATACCTCCAGGAGAAAAGTGGTATATTGTTATTGAAAATATTGTTCTCTATTAGAATGGTGCATCTGAAAACACTGACATAGGTGAATGCTTATAATTATTTTATTTCAGTTTATAGCAAATTTCCCTATAGGGAAGTGGCTATTACCGTAGGTCTCATGGTAAGACTTGAGCCTGGGACCGATTTACTTTTTCATTTTGATTTCCACAGCGGCCAAAAACAATACTCGTTCAATTTGTATATATATATATATATATATATATATAAAGTTTACATACAAGCTATTTCGGCATGTCTGGAAACGGTACAAGATTTTCGGATTTGATAAAGTTGTATGATGGCGAAGGAGACTTCTAGGAATGGCTGAAAAAGTTAGAGCTTGTATGTAAACTTCAGAAGGTTAAAGGCCTGCACACACCAAACGCGGGAAGCGGGAGCGGCGCGAATTTTCTAGTTCCTAGAAATTTAGTCGCAGGAACTGTTCGCGCGGGAACCTAGGTGGCGCACACACAATGTGGGAAATTTTGCGGCGAACCTGAACTCAGTTGGTAGGGTGACAGTGTTGTGGTCAGTTGTACTTACCTTCTCATGGTTTGTCGCTCTCCATGTCATCTGATGAAGAAGGCTTTGTTGCTGTTCGCCTTGGCTGAGAATGAAAATCGTAAGAAGACGTGGGTACACGCTATTAGTAAGGAGAGAGAACAGTATGGGGAATATCACACGCTGATGCCGCATCTCCGAATGGATGAAAAAAGGTTTTACATTTACTTTCGTATGACACCAGCCTGCTTTGATGAGCTACTTGGCTTAATCAGTGATGACATTGAGAAGAAAGACACTAACTATCGAAAATCTATCTGTCCAG